TCTGTCTGTCTGTCTGTCTGTCTGTCTGTCTGTCTGTCTGTCTGTCTATCTATCTATCTACTATCCATCCATCCATCCATCCATCCATCCATCCATCCATCCATCCCATCTAATCTATCTATCTCTATCTCTGTATATCATCCTCATCCTCATCTCTATATTTATTCTATCTATCTATCCAGACTATTTATTTATCCCACACTCCCTTTCAATCTCCATCTCCGTCTCCATCATCTCTCTCGCTCTCTCCTTTTGGAACTGCTTGTCTTCCCCACAGAGAAACTTTCGGGGCCTGTAAAAAACATAACGCTAAAAGCCAAAGAGCTAAACCCAGGTCAGAAGTGGAACTGGAGGAATGCTGGTTTGAAGGTGGTTCCGGCTGCAGCTGTGCAGAAGACCAAATGCCGTCTGGTTTGCCAAGAGCTGGATCAAGATGCGGAAATATCACAGGGGGTTCTGGTCCCTCGTGACATTAGCCCAGCACAGAAGTCTCAATTCTTATGCTGTTTTCCACAGGGAAGGCAAACAACAACAACAACAACAACAACAAAAACCATAGATCTGTGCCCAAGAAGGCTAGAAAGACCCTCCTCCAGATCTCACCTCCTCCTCTTCTTCGCACCCTGCAGGATCTTCTCCAGCAAAACTCTCTGAAAGTTAAAAGCAGAGGGTTACAGAAGGTTTTTGCAGGGCCTTAAATCGTTGTTAAGGGTTGCAGGTGCCTTGTCGTCTCCTGCGCCAAGGGGTTCCCCCCTTCCCCAACCATGAAGGACAAGGACTGGGGGCTTCTCCAAATGGTCTACCCGTCAACCGCTCCCTTATGCCTGCCTGGGCTTCACGGCTACGCTGTGACAGACTGCGAGGGATGCTTGGAAGGAAGAGGGGAACTGTTCCGACAGACTTAACCACAAACTTGTTTTCAAAGCAAAACCTATTCGATTGCAACGCTGGGAATTCCTTGCATTCCCAGCCAGAGCTAATTATAAACAGTTTCCCCAAGATAAGCACACGCCTTTCAGTGCTGTGGAATGCTGCCAAAAACCAGAAGTAATTATAACAGAAACTAACCGAAGTACCGGAAAAAAAGTAGTATACAGAGCTTCAAGGAGGACTCGGAATCTATCGAACTGCTTTGCTTCCTGCAAAGGTTTCTTCACCTTGGCCTGTCCTTTATCCCTTATGGGAGGGGCAATCTCCTCCCAGCCTTACTTCCGAGTCGCCCCTTTTGTTTCAGCTGCTCTCATCTTCTAGCAGCTCTGTGCAAGCGCGCACTGGGAACAGGCTCCCTTTGTTCCTCTTCCTCGCTGCTACCACACTCCGGAGGCTCCGGAGTCAGCACCTCACTCCCAGGTGGTTCTGGCCCCATCCCTGCATCGAACGCAGGACCCTCATCTCGGTCCTCTCCAGACTCCCGGACCAGTCCCCTTTCTGGTCCCTCCCTGCAAGGTCCCCGCGCCCCCCCACTCCAGTTTTTTCCTTCCTTGGCCACAGGGACACCTACTGGGAGCAAAAAAAAACCCCCCAGGAGGCTTCCCCGAGGCCCAGAAGGCCCCCAAAATGTGTGTGTGTGTTTGCTGCAAAAAAAGAAGCCACGCCCACCCAGCCACATGGCCATGCCCACCTAGCCATGCCCACAGAACCGGATTTTACCAAATTTGAACCCCACTCCTGGGCTTTGCAGTCTTTCACAGGCCGTCTCGACTTACGACCGTGATGGAGCCCTGCTGCTAAGCGAGACGACCGCGAAGGGATGTTTTCACCCCCCCGTTTTACAAACTTTCTGGCTGCCGTTGGCTCAGGGAGTCGCGGCGGTTGTTAACTTTGTCGCCCGGCTGCTAAGCGAATCCTGCTTCCTCCCCCCCCCCCGGTGGACTTGGCTCATTGGAAGATCGCCCCTCCCCCCCCAAAAAAGGGGGAAAATCACGTGACACGCCCCTTGGGGACGCCGCAGCCGTTGTTAAGTGTGAAAAACAGTCACGTTCCTTTCTTTTTTTTAGGGCCGTTGCAACTTTCAACGGTTGCTAAGCCAACGGTCGTTAAGTCGAGGACCTGATTGAATGCTGGGCCGACCCTTCCAGGCTGCCAGGGATAAGATCCGGCTTGGTTTCCAACGCAGAGAAAGGAAGAATTGGGAGGAAAGAAACGTATTAGACGGGGAGGAGATCCCGGGTGGCCTTTTAGTCTTGTTTTCATTCGTGAAACGCCGCCGACCAGCCGGTAAGGATAACCATCCGGCTCCTTTTCCGGGGAGGTTGGATAGATCTGGTGGTGGCGGTTGTGTTTTATTTTATTTTTATTTTTAATAAAAGGAGGGATCGAAAGAGTGAGAAGAACGTCCTAAACCCATCAGGATTGGCAGGTTTTATAGCTCTTCCAGAACCTGCCCAACCTGTCTGAGCAGACAGGAAGGAAGGACAGGAAGGAGGAGGAGGGGGAGGAGGAGAAAGAAAGGAAGGGAGAAATAAAAAAGGGCTGGGAAGGAGGGAGGGAAGCGAGGAAGAGGAGGAGGAGGAGAGGAAAGGAGGAAAGAGAAAATAGGAAGGGAGGAAGGAGAGGAGAAAAATAAGAAGGGGGGGAGGAGTGAAGAGGGAAGGAAGGCGAGAAAAGGGAGTCAGGAAAGAAAGAAAAAAAGAAAGAAATGATTAGGAGGGAGGGAGGAAGACAGAAAGGAAGAGGAAGAAGAGGAGGAGGAGGAAACTGATGGGCTAGGAAAGGAAAGGAGAAAGGAAAGGAGGAAAGAAAGGAAAAGAAAGGAAAGGAAAGGAAAGAAGGAAAGGAAAAGAAATAAAAGGAGGAA